CCCCAAGGCCCCCACAGCAGGGAGAGTTGGCCCTCCTCACTGTTCCTTCCCGGGGCACCAGGCCGGCGCCTCAGCTCAGGGGAGGGAGGGGTCACAGAGGACAGCCAGCAGGCAGATGGCCCAAGAGTGTGGGGGTTCAGGGGGCCTGACCGTGTCCTGAGGCGCCCCAGGACCCTCTACCCAACACCCCTGAGGGAGGGGCTGTCCCCACCTGCCAGGAACACATTCCTCAGGGAAGGCCCGGCAACCTGCTCTCCTCCAGTTCAAGGAGAGCCAGGCGGCTTTGGAAGGGGCCAGGAGCTGTCACCAAGGGCCCCTGTATTGCCCAGAGGCGACAGAGGCTAACAGGAAAAGCACTCGCCGCCCACAGAACCTCGGTGACAAATTCAGAGCCGCCGAGAGAGAGCGTCATCAGGAGGTCACCTGCCAGTCCCAGGGGGAGGGATGGGGCGCGTCTCCAGGGAAACGAGATGCCAAGGTCCTCCTGGGGCCCCTTCCGGAACCCACCCGCCCTCCACATCCCACCCCCCCAGACCAGGGACTGCCCCCACCCCCCCAGCCCAGGATCCGGCAACCCGACACGTCAGGGAAAAAAGGAGCCGCTCTGCCTTCACCATGGCAACATGGCACGGTCCTCCCAGCCCCAGCTCCTCCCCTTCAGGGCTGCATAGGGGAAGGAGAGGCCTCCTCTGTCTGCAGAGCGAGGTCGCCCCACCTGGGGCAGAGAGGGGGCGGGGGCAGGAATGAGCCCCTGGGGGGGAGGGCGTTGGAGGTGCGGGGCACATCCTGCCACCCAGGCTGGCGTGGGGCACTCACACCGTGCAGAAGGGGCTGTGGTGACCAGAACGGGCTTCCCGCCAGCTCGTGGGGATGTAGGACTGGGACTCCCGGACCGGGGCTGGGAAACACTTCCACGAAGGGCCAGAGAGCACACGGCGCAGACCCTGTGGGACACACGGGGTCTCTGTGGCACAGTCTCCCTTCTTGGGGTTCTCTGGGATGGGTGTTGCAACCCTTTCAGGATGTCAAAGCACGCTCCGCCCTCAGAAATGCAGGCCGGCCAGTGTCAGCCCCAGGAGGTGGCCTGCTGCTCCGGCTGACACCAAGGACACGCTCTTGAGGCGGCCCTCCCTCTTGGGGCCTCCAGCAGCCGACACAGGTCTACACGTGCAAGGGCGCTTCTGACACGCAGCACGCAGGAACAGCCTCCACCCTGAGCATGGCGCCCTCTGCAGCACACTCCAGGGTGGACCTGTGAGACCACTGAAGACCAGAGCAGAGAGGAGGTGAGGCGGGTCACTTAGGATACCAGGTCGTAAACAGACTGTGGCCGGGTCTGGGGCGCCCTCTCCTGCTGGTTCGATTGGATTGCAGGTCTGCGGGAAGCCCGGCAGCCCTGTGGGGAGGCCCGGTGGGGAGGAACTGAGGCCTCCTGCCACAGCCTCTTCGCTCAGTCAGATAGGATGGCTGGGCCCCAGTGGACACCTTCATCGCAGCCTGAGAGGGCCCCTGGGCCATAGTCCCTGGCTCCCCGAGAGCCCTCTCAGAGCCGGTCCCTCAGAACCCTGGGGGATGAGGAGCACCAGGTGGGGAAGGACCAAAACGTGGGGTCGCCTATTACCCAGCAGCCGGAACTGGTGCCCAGCATCCAGGGGGCAAGACACGGTGTGAGCCAGAAGGAAACAAACGGACAAGAACCCCCAGAAGCCGTCAGGAAAGCCTGGAGCTTCAGATGACAGGAAAACTAAAATCCCGTCTGACCAAGCACAACCCGCAAACCACACAGTCAAGAGACAAGTGATAACATGGGGAAAATAGTAGCAAAAGGTGACTAAGGGCTCGCGTCGGTCACACACACACACACACACACACACAGCCAGACACACGAGTGGACGAGGCAGCGTGCAAGGACAAGGGAGCCAAAGGGGGCGGAGGAGAGGAAGGGAGAGGGAGGAAGTGTCTTCTCCACCGGGATGCAATCCCCTGGGGGCAAAGACACCCAGCAGGGTCGCCAGAGCCGCCGCGGAGACGGGAAGTCATGCCAGGCCTCGGAGCCCAGCCAAGAGGAACCAGAGCAGACGGGCCAAACTCAGCGGCCGGCTCCCAGGTGGGCGGTGGCGCTGGGGGGAGCCGCCTGGGCAGCATCGCCAGCAGCTGGGAACCCTCCTGGCGCAGGAAGGGCGGCGGGAAACGCGGGGCTTTCCCGGAAACCCTGGGCGGGGCCCTGCGGCTGTTCCCAGGAACCCTCCCGCGGGAAGACCGGCCGGAGGGATGGCTCCGTCGACGGAAGCCACCGCCTTTTCTGCGGGGCTCGCCTTCCCTACCTCCCCGAGGAGCCAGTATGGCGGGAAGCGCCCCAGCCCACGGCCGCCTGCAGCAGAGCAGGATTCCCTCCCCGACGGCCACGGTTGCCAAGGGACGGGAAAGACTTTGTTACCCCACCGCGCGCCACCCGCGGAATGGTGCACAGACACCTCCAGACGCCACCTCCCCCAGGACGCCTGACTGGGCCCGCTCGGCCCACCTCTCCCTGGACGCTGCGCGGTGGGCGGGTGGGGTCGGCCCTGCTTCCCCACGACCCCCCAGACGCGCCCCGAGGCGCTTTCGGAGCACAGTGGAGTGGGAAGGGAGGGGCGGCCCCTCGACGGCGCCCAGGCGAGAGCGGCTCAAGGAGCTTCCCGGGCCCTGACCTCGGGGGACGCCTGTCCGCCAAGTCCCCGGGGGAGGACAGTGACCACCGGCCTGCGCCGGAAAAGGACTCGGCGCCTGCCCCGCAGAGCCGGCCCGAGGACCCGCAGGCGCGGGAGGCGGGGCCGAGGCGGGGGCGGGGAGTGGCGGGGCGGGACCGCCCTCGCCTCCGCCCACCGGAGCCCACAGCTGCCTCGCTCCCCGCCTCCGCTGCCGTCGCTCCTCTCAGCCTCCAGGCGCCCACCGGAAGCTCCGCCCCTCCCCGCCTATCCGGCCTCCTCTTCGCCTGTCGTCGCCAATGACCATGCTCAGATTGAACGGAATTCCCGCCCCTCACCCTTGACGGACGCTCCTGCTGCCCAATGGGCGCCACCCCGTCGCGTGAGCGCCGCTGCAGCCCTGCGGGGCGGGGTGCGTCCCCCTCTGGCTCCCAGGCGTCCACGGGGCGAGGGCAGGGACGCTGGCCGCAGAATCACGCGAGACCGTCCAGCCGTGCACGCGCAACACTGCCGCCTGGTGTTTTCGGTGTGGACCTGTGCTTCTCTAAGCATTCCATTCCCGAGAAGGGGCGAGAAACGTCCAGAGGCCGTTGCACCTGCCGGCCGGTGCCGGAGCGTTGGCCGTGGGCGCAAATGAAGCGCCCCGGGAGCGCGGCGCGACGTCCGTGCCCTCCGAGGGCCGCCCGGGTGTCGCCGTGGTGCGCGCGGGAGGGCGCGGCCGTCGGCATTTCCGCGCTTGCGCGGGTTCCTGTCCCCCGGCACCGGCCCCTCCCTCCCGTGGGCCCGCGGTAGGCACGCCCCCTCCCTCCCGCGGTGCAGCGCAGCCAGCGCTCTGCTCCGGGACTCAGCTTTATCTCCGCGGAGCCACGCGCTGTCCTCCGCTGTGGTGGGCCGAGTCCCCTCCGCCTACCGCTCGCGAGATCCATCCCAGCCCTTGGGGCGGGGCCCGTTGTTCTTCCCGCTCACGGCCAGGGAACGGTCCACGCTCGCGGAGCCGCAGGCTGAGCCTTTGCCTGATGAGGGACAAGGTTGCAGCTTCCCGTGGCTGGTGGCCCTTACGGAGGAGCCAGCTGGGAGCACGCACGTGCAGGGTTTCCTGTTACCGGGTTGCCACGCCGGTCTTGAACGCTCCAGTCCACGCAGAAATGAATGTGTAGCTGTATTTGTATTTGTATTTGTAATGGGTTTTTTTGAGGCAGGGTCTCACTCTGTCGCCCAGGCTGGAGTGCAGTGGCGCGATGTGGGCTCACTACAGTCTTGACCTCCCCACCCCAGCGACGGCCTCCGCCTCCGGCCTCAGGCCACCAAGTAGCTGGGACTACAGCAGGCACACGCCACCACCACGTCCGGCTCATTTTTAAGGTTTTTGTAGAGATGGGGTCTCGCTTTGTCGCCGAAGCTGGTCTGGAATGCCCGGGCTCAGGTGATGCATCCCAGGCTCCCAAAGTGCTGGGATTCCAGGCACCGGCCGTCTCCTCGTAGGGCCTTGAGTACTGTCAATAGAAACACCAGACTCTTCAGGCGAATCACTGAAGGGCTTTTGAGGCCGGGCGCGGTGGCTCACGCCTATAATCCCAGCACTTCGGGAGGCCGAGGCGGGTGGATCGTTGGAGGTCAGGAGTTCGACACCAGCCTGACCAACAAAGTGAAACCTCGCCTCTAATAAAATACAAAATTAGCTGGGCATGGTGGTGCACACACCGGTAATCCCAACTACTCAGGAGGCTGAGGCAGGAGAATCGCTTGAACCCAGGAGGGAGAGGTTGCAGTGAGCTGAGATGGCTCCACTGAACTCCAGCCTGGGTGACGGAACACGACTCTGTCTCACCAAAAAACACACAAAAAAGTTTTTGAAACAACTTGAAGCAAGTTATCCCATGTATAAAAAATATATAGTTATTTACTCGATTTTTCTGCGCAATCACCCACATAGTTACGAAGTTTAAGACCCCTGTGCAGCAAACTGACACAAGAACAGAAAATGAAACACCGCATGTTCTCACTCATAGGTCGGTGTTGAACAGTGAGAACACATGGACACAGGGAGGGGAGCACTACACACTGGGGTCTGTTGAGGGGAATAGGGGAGGGACAGCGGGGGGTGGGGAGTTAGGGAGAGAGAGCATGGGGAGAAATGCCAGATATAGGTGAAGGGGAGGAAGGCAGCAAATCACACTGCCACGTGTGTACCTATGCAACTATCTTGCATGTTCTTCACATGTACCCCAGAACCTAAAATGCAATGAAAAAAATACGTTAAAAAAAAAAGACCCCTTATGCTACACATTTTATAGTGGCTTTCCTTTTTGTGTGTGTGTGGTTGTTGTTTTTTATAATTTCAACTTTTTATTTTGTTTTTGAGATAGAGTCTTGCTCTGTTGCCCAGGCTGCTGTGCAATGGCACCATCTCGGCTCACTGCAACAACCTCTGCCTCCCAGGCTCAAGGGATCCTCCCACCTCAGCCTCCCTAGTAGCTGGGACTACAGGTGTGTGCCACCACGCCTGGCTAATTTTTCTATTTGTAGTAGAGGTGGGGTTTCACCATGTTGGTCAGGCTGATCTGGAACTCCTGGCCTCAAGTGATGCGCCTGCCTCAGCCTCCCAAAGTGCTGGGATTGCAGGCGTGAGCCACCACGTACAGCCTATAAATTAGACTTTTTTTTTTTTTTTGAGACAGAGTCTCGCTCTGTCGCCCAGGCTGGAATGCAGTGGCGCGATCTCGGCTCACCGCAACCTCCGCCTCCCGGGTTCAAGAAATTCTCTGCTTCAGCCTCCCAAGTAGCTGGGATTACAGACGCCTGCCACCATGCCTGGCTAATTTTTGTATTTTTATTAGAGATGGGGTTTCACCATCTTGGCCAGGCTGGTCTTGAATTCCTGACATCGTGATCCACCCACTTCGGCCTCCCAACGTGCTGGGATTTCAGGTGTGAACCACTACGCCCAGACTTTTTTTTTGAGACAAAGTCTCGCTCTTGTCCCCCAGGCTGGAGTGTGCAATGGCGCGATCTCAGCTCAACGCAACCTCTGCATCCCAGGTTCAAGCCGTTCTCCTGCCTCAGCCTCCTGAGTAGCTGGGATTACAGGCACGTGCCACCACACCCGGTTAATTTTTTTTTTTTTTTGTATTTTCAGTAGAGATGGGGTTTCTCCATGTTGGTCAGGCTGGTCTCGAACTGCCGACCTCAGGTGATCCGCCTACCTTGGCCTCCCAAAGTGCTGGGATTACAGGCGTGAGCCACAGTGGCCAGCCTGATGTGCTCTTATTTAAACAACAACAACAAAAATTTTTTTGAGCAGCGTTTCGCTTTTGTTGCCCAGGCTGGATGGAGTGCAATGGCACAATCTCGGCTCACTGCAATCTCTGCCTCCCGGGTTCAAGGGATTCTCCTGCCTCAGCCTCATGAGTAGCTGGGATCACAGGAGTGCGCCACTGCACCTGGCCCCGATTTGATGTGCTTTTAAAGCATCATTATTCCTACCTTCCATTTACTATGAACACAGCCTTGAACATGCATCCATCTCTCTCTAGGATAATTACCTGTGAGTGGAATTGCTGGGTCCAGATATATGTACATACATTTTTTTTTTTTTTTTTTTTGAGACAGGTTATCAGGCTGTGGCCCAGACTGGAGTGGAATGGCTAGATCACCGCTCACCGCTGCCTCAACCTCCTGGGCTCAAGTGATCTTCCTACTTCAGCCTCCTGAGCAGCTGGGACCACAAGTGTGCACCACCACCCCTGGTTTCTTTAGAAAGCTTCTTTTTGTTGAGATGGGGTCTCACTGTGTTGCCCAGGCTGGTCTTGAACCCCTGGGCTCAAGCGATGCTCCCGCCTTGGCCTCTCAAAATGCTGGGATTACAGTTGTGTGCCACTTTCTGTGGCCTGCATTTAAAATTGTAATAGACACTAGGGAATTGCCTCCCTGAAAGACCCACCTTTGATACTGTCCCTTCCCCACGCTGTACCCTCCGTGTTTACCCACAGCCTCACCAGCACCGTTTCGGCTAACAACTTTTTAGGTGTCTGAAAATTGGCTGGGAGAACAGTAGCTTTTTGCTGTTTCCTTCTCCCGGTTTCCTAGTCTTGTTCCCCTCCCTCCCAAAGGCGCTGTGGTGCTTAGGACCTTCCATTTCTACAGATCCTTGTGAAATACGTGGTGTCATTTGGCATGTGTTTGTTCAATTCTATTTATTTATTTTTGAGACGGAGTCTTGCTTCAAGCAATTCTCCCACCTCATCCTCCGAAGTAGCTGGGACTACAGGCACGTGCCACCACGCCCAGCTGATTTTTGTATTTTTAGTAGAGACGGGGTTTCACCATGTTGGCCAGGCTGCTCTTGAACTCCTGACCTCAAGTGATCCGCCCGCCTCGGCCTCCCAAACTGCTGGGATTACAGGCGTGAGCCACCACGCCCAGCTTGTTTGTTTGTTCTGAGAGAGGCCCAGGCTGGAGTGTAAAGGGGCAGTGAGCTCACTGCAGCCTCAACCTCCCAAGCTGAATTGATCCTCTTGCCTCAGCCCCCCAGCTTACTAGGACTACAGGTGGGTGCCACCACGCCCTGCTAATTTTTAATTTTTTTCTAGAGATGGGGTTTCACCATGTTCCCCAGGCTGGTCTCCAACTCCTGGGCTCCATCAATCCACCCACCTCAGCCTCCCAAAGTGCTGGGATGGCAGGCGTGAGCCACCGTGCCCGACTCCTTTCCCACTGTCGGTCTCCTCCATACCATTTGTCACACACAGCCTTTCCCCCATGATCGCACTGCCGTACTCCCGCTAAACGTGCAGGCATCTGCGGTCTCCTCTGCGCTGGTCCTTCCGGGGAACAATGCCATGAGCCTCGTTTGCATCTCGCCATACCTAGTGCACCTGCCAGCTCCCTTCGAGGGTCCTTGCAGACAGCTTCGCTCATTCTTGGGCATTTTCTTCTCCACGTGAAGTTTCCCATCATCATCTCCGGGACCATTTGACACCCACATCCCTGGCTTCCTGAGACTCTGGTGGCGTGACGGGATGAGCCCACTTCTCAGCATTGCTTCTTTCGAGAGGACGAAGGCCTCAGTCCAGGCGGCAGGAATGGACTTTGCCCTGCTGGCCTCAGCTCGGCTGGCAAGGGATACCTGCAGTCTGGGGCCTGGAGGTAGAGCGCTCCAGACACAATCCCTTCCTTCTGGGAGTTTCTTTTTTCGTGGGTGAGCCATAAGCAAACAGCTCACCCCCCAGTTCTGAGGGCCTGGGTGGGACCATCGCCCCGGTCCAGGTAAGAGACCGTGAAGTCCGGCCAGGCACATTGGCTCTTGCCTGGAATCCCAGAACTCTGGGTTAGGGTTAGGGTTATGGCGGGAGGATCACTTGGCTCCAGCAGTTCAAGACCAGTCTGGACAACCTAACAAGGCCCCATCTCTGCAAAAGAAAAAAAGATTAGTCAGGCATGGTTGTGTGCGCCTGTAGTCCCAGCCAATTGGGAGGCTGGGGCAGGAGAATTCCTGGAGCCCAGGAGTTCCAGGCTGCAGTGAGTGTTGATCATGCCACTGCACTCCAGCCTGGGCAACGGAGCAAGGCCCTGTCTCAATTAAAAAATAAAAAAGACCAGGCTTGGTGTCTCACGCCTATAATCCCAGCACTTTGGGAGGTCGAGGTGGGTGGATCACCTGACGTCAGGAGTTCGAGACCAGCCTGGCCAACATGGCAAAAACCCTGTCTCCACTAAAAATAAAAAAATAAATAAATAAAATTTAAAAAGTCCGGGCGCGGTGGCTCACGCCTATAATGCCAGCACTTTGGGAGGCCGAGGCGGGTGGATCACGAGGTCAAGAGATCGAGACCATCCTGGTCAACAAGGTGAAACCCCGTCTCTACTAAAAATACAAAAATTAGCTGGACATGGTGGTGCCCGCCTGTAGTCCCAGCTACTTGGGAGGCTGAGGCAGGAGAATTGCTTGAACCCAGAAGGCGGAGGTTGCGGTGAGCCGGGATCGTGCCATTGCGCTCCAGTCTGGGTAACAAGAGTGAAACTCTGTCTCAAAAAAAAAAAAAAAAAACGGAGTCCCAGATGGCGAGGGTAGCAGTGGAAAAAAACCCACTTCAATTTCTTTGTGCCAACGGTTCATGTATTGGAAGGATTCCAGTGGGAAGGTCAGGAGGGAGAGGAGCCAACAGGTGGAAAGCTGCCAGTCCTCTGTCCTCACTGTGTAGGGCTGCAAGATTCCTTGGGTGCCCGTCTGGGCTCCAGGGCCCCCACGCACCCGTGCAGGCTAGTGTGTGGATCTGCAAGAGGCTCTCTGCCCTCTGGGCAGGTATGCGGCTGGAGGTGAGGACACGGGAGGGATTTCAGCCCACTCACTCCCCAGGAAAGTGTCCTTGTGCAGAGAATCCAGCCTGCACAATCTTCTTGGGTACCCAGGCTTAGGCTGTGTCCTCCCTCTGCCCAAAGTGGCTACAGAAAGTTCATTTAACACCCACTAGAGAGTGAGGAGACTGTAGGGGGAATTTCTTGTTTTTCTTCTTTTCTGAGACAGAGCCTTGCTCTGTGGTCCCAGGATGGAGTGCAGTGGTGTGATGTCGGCTCACTGCAACCTCCACCTCCCAGGTTCAGGCAATTCTCCTGGCTCAGCCTCCCGAGTAGCTGGGATTACAGGAGTGCACCACCATGCCCAGCTAATTTTTTGTGTTTTTAGTTAGAGAAGGGGTTTCCCCATGTTGGCCAGACTGTTCTCCAACTCCTAACCTCAAATGATCTACATGTGGCCCTGTAGGCAGAAGTTTATGTGCCTGTCAGCCCCACCAGCCCAGTCAAGTGTGGCTTGGGGTCCAGGTCACATGAGCCAGCACTGACTAGGCAACTGGTGAAGCTCCCAGTCTCCCAGCCTCCCTTGGTGGTGAAAGGGACTCAACCTTCCACATCTGGGGGGACTGGTGTTTCTTTGCTGGAAAACTCTGTCACAACCTTACCTGGGCAGGAACCTTGGGAGGGGATACTCCCTCCTCATCCGTGAGACACTCCGCAACTAGAACATGAAACCCTCCATTAGACCCAGAACGAGTGTCCAATCTCACTGCACTCTAAGGGGAGAAACACAATGTCTGACTTAGTAGAAAATAGCTGCAGCTGGATGCGGTGGCTCATGCCTATAATCCTAGCACTTTGTGAGGCTGAGGCAGGTGGATCACCTGAGGTCGGGAGTTTCAGACCAGCCCGGCCAATGTGGTGAAACCTCATCTCTACTAAAAGTACAAAATTACCCAGGCGTGGTGGTGCGCCTGTAATCCCAGCTACTCGGGAGGCTGAGGCAGGAGGATTGCTTGAATCCAGGAGGCGGAGCTTGCAGTGAGCTGAGATTACACCACTGCAATCCAGCCTAGGCGACAGAGCGAGATTCTGTCTCAAAAAACAAACAAACAAAAGAGAGGGCCGGATGCAGTGGCTGATGCCTGCAATTCCAGCAGTTTGGGAGGCTGAGGTGGGCAGATTATGAGGTCAGGAGTTCGAGACCAGACTGGCCAACATGGTGAAACCCTGTCTCGCCGGGTGCGGTGGCTCATGCCTGTAATCTCAGCACTTTGGGAGGCCAAGGCAGGCGGATCACCTGAGGTCAGGAGTTCAAGACCAGCCTGGCCAACATGGTGGAACCCCATCTTAAAAACAAAACAAAAAATAAAAGAAATCCTGTCTCTACTACAAAAATTAGCTGGGTGCATTGGCACGCATCTATAATCCTAGCTACTCAAGAGGCTGAGGCAGAAGAATTGCTTGAACCCAGGAGGCAGAGGTTGCAGTGAGCCAAGTTCGTGCCATTGCATTCCAGCCTGGGTGACAGAGTAATACTCCATCTCAAAAAAAAAAAAAAAAAAAAAAAGAAAAGAAAAAAGAAAGAAAACAAATAGGTGGCACATCAACAAGAATTTTGAGGATTTGCCTTTTATTTAGAATGAGAACCCTAGGGAAATATGTGTAGGAGTGGATTATCAGGCGCTTACACTAAGAGAGCGAACCACAGTCTCAGTGGGCTGGATGCACTGACAAGTGACCACTCACTACAGACTCCAGTTTCAATGTGTGTTCATGCAGATGGTGGGAACGCTAATAGTTCACTTGCCTAGGTGACTGAAGCTTTAACTCAATGGTGGCCTGCAGTTCATGGGTTTGGTGGACCTGGTATGAGGTAATGGAGGAAATCCAAAGGCTTAAGGAAAAACTAATGTTTGAGTAGATTCATCATATGTAAATCTTTACCCCAACTGTGTTTTCTGGGAAGGTCCAGAAGATGCTGTCTTCACGGACACACTGAGACAGGCAGTAGTGTAGGAGCACCTGCATCCTTGTAAAGATCTGTGGTGCTCTCCTCTGTAGGCTATACCGAAGGGGACTCCCTGAGGGGATGATAGAACCGTAGTGTAAGGGTGGGCGTGGTGGCTCACACCTGTAATCCCAGCACTTTGGGAGGCCAAGGCGAGTGGATCACGAGGTCAGGGGTTAAAAACCAGACTGGCCAACATGGTGATACCCCATCTGTACTAAAAATACAAAAAATTCGCTGGTTGTGGTGGCACACACCTGTAATCCCACCTACTCTGGAGGCTGAGGCAGGAGAATCTCTTGAACCCAGGAGGCGGAGGTTTTGGTGAGTGGAGATCACACCATTGCACTCCAGCCTGGGCAACAGAGCAAGACTCCGTCTAAAAAATTAAAATTCAGAACCGTGGTGTAGAAGAGAGCATGTCACAACTCTAGCCTGCCCAAGACAAAGTGGCCACGTGTATCACAAAGGTGAGCATGGACACAGATTCAGTCAGAAGGCCTTTGCCCACAGACAGACATCTCTGGGAAGGGCTGACTGAGCAGTGTCTGTAGGGATGAAACAGAGTTGTAAGCTACTACAGCATTACAGCATTGCTTGAGGTATAACCTGGAATGTTCTAGGTCTGGGACCCAAATACACGACCTTTTTTTTTTGAGACAGAGTCTTGTTCTGTTGCCCAGGCTGGAATGTAGTGGCATGAGATCAGGTCACTGCAACCTCCACCTCCCAGGATTCAAGCGATTCTCCTGCCTCAGCCTCCTGAGTAGATGGGATTACAGTCTCGCCACACCACGCCTGGCTAATTTTTGTCGTTTTAGTAGAGACAGTTTCACCATGTTGGTCAGGCTGGTCTTGAACTCTTGACCTCATGATCTGCCCACCTTGGCCTCCCAAAGTGCTGAGATTACAGGCGTGAGCCCCTGAGCTCGGCCATTTATGACTTTTTTGAGACAGAGTCTCGCTCTGTCACCCAGGCTGGAGTGCAGTGGTGCGAGCTCAGCTCACTGCAATCTGTGCCGCCTGAGCTCAAGCGATCCTTTCACCGCAGCAGCTGGGATTAGAGTGTGCCACCACGCTGGGCTAATTTTTAATTTTTAATGTATGTAGAAGTGGTTTTTCCCTATGCTGTGCAGGCTGGTCTCAAAATCCTGGGCTCAAGTGATCCACCCACCTCTGCCCCTCAAAGTGCTGGGATTACAGGTGTGAGCTACAGCACCCCACCGCAATCCCTGACTTGTATTGCCCCAGTGGTGTTACAGCCTCGAACCCAGTCACCTAAGTCACCGCTGCGATCCAGAGACCCATGATGGAAAGGGAGGCTAGGTTCCCCTGGGAAGGACCTTGCACAGTGGCTGCAAGTGCACACCAGAAACCGTCTCAAGCTTTTCTCAAAGGGACCTGCAGCCAGTTATTAAAGCGGCATATCCTCCTGGAAAACAGGTGAGCTCGAGCAGGATTCCCTCCAGTCCTTCTGTGAAAGGACAGGAAGGCATTGTTACCCCACCTGCAGAATGGTGGACAGACACCTCCAAACGCCACTTCCCCCAGGATGCCCTCCCTCTCTGCGCACCTTTCCCTAGATGCTACCCCGTGGGCGGCTGGGGGCGGTCGTGCTTCCCCCACGACCTCCAGAGGCGCCTCGAGGCACTCAGAGCACAGTGGTGTGGGAAGGGCAGGGCGGCGTCGAAGCGAGAGCGGCTCACGGGAGGCGGCGCCCGAGACGCAGCTGGCCGGGAGGGTGCGGGTCAGGGTGGGCGGAGCGGGCCTAGTGATGCCGCCGGGGTCTCCCAGGCCATGGATCCTCGTGGAGACTTCTCGGCCTCTTTCCCGCGACAGTGTGCGAACCCTGGCTCCTAGCCCTGCGTCTCTGGTCGGGGATGGGTTTGGGGGGCGACTTTGCTGCTCCGGCCTTCCAGGTTGACAAAGGAACGCCGGCCTAGGGCCCGGAATGGCGCTTCACCGCTGGGTCCTCTAGCCTTGCCAGAGGCACAAGCGCGTGTCCGGGGGCCCGCGCAAGGTCGGGGATACTTTCGCGGTCGCTGGGAGGCCCACCCAGGGGTACTTTCCTTTTTTCCAATTCTTGTCTGTCATAGTTAACAGCAAAGCCTAGGGCAAGAGTTCTACGCCCAAGATGGCCAGCCGGAAGCGGGCTTCTCGCGACCAGGTGGCGAAGCCCCATTCGTCAGCTGGCCGCCCGCGGCCCCGGTACCCGGCTACCTCTCTACTCTGCGCATGTGCTAGGCTACGCCCGCATCTATGGTCATGACGTCTGACAGAGCGTCCATCCGCCTTCGCCAGAACTCTATGGTTCTTACGCGCGAAGATAGACCGTCTATATAAAGCATGCGCAGGCGTAGGAGCGCCTCTTTTCCTTCGGCACGGTGAGTGAGCGTGCTTGTTGTATCTGGTTGTACCCTTGCAGGTTCTGACCCCTGGTTTTAGGCTTGTTCTCGTCGTCCGTTCCGACTCTGTCTTTCGTTGCAGCCACTGAAGATCCTGGTGTCGCTATGGGCCGCCGCCCCGCCCGTTGGTGAGTTTTGAATTCATGTACTTTAACGGCTGGGAAATGAGCAGGGAAAGAACTACCTTTGGCCCCTGAAAGTACCTGTCAGGTGGAGCACCCCCCCCCGCCCCCGCTACGGCGGCCCTGTCTTGGGAACTGATCCTATGTTTTGCCTCACATCCCCCGGTTCTTTTCAGTCTTAAGTAGTATTGTCTGTTCCTTCATTCCCGTGTCGGTGTGGAAGCGAAGTTCCTCTCATCTCTCCCTCTGTTCTGCAAGCTCGCCGCGTTTTCGGGCGCTAAATACCCTCTCGGGGCCTTTGTGTGCGTTCCCTGTCTTATTTCCGGGCGACGTGCCGCGTGCCTTCTCGGACGTGAAGGGCAGTCCGGGGTAAACGGGTGCAGCCGCCTGTGTGCCCGACAGGGGGCGGGCGCCAGACGTCTTTCTGCTCAGCTCGGAGGTGGATTTAGTGCCACGTGCCCAAAAGTCTTCAGTTGGGTGACCTGAGCTGTGGAATGATAATGCAGCAAATTTGTAGTACACAGTGTCTGAGAGCATTTTTAACTAGGAAAACTTGTTGGAAAGTGTTTACTTTCTAGGAAGTGTAAGACAAAGTAACGGAAAAAGGTAGCTTTTATGTTTCTACTCGGGTGCTCTGCTGCAGCAGCGAAGTGTTGCTTTGGAGCTCATTTCCCTGAATGGAAGCAGCTTAGAAGTGGACGTGCATTCCCTCGTTTGGGTTGATGGTTGAGTTTTCTGTGAACCTCACCTGACCTGGGTTTTTCCACTCCTCTGCAGTTACCGATATTGTAAGAACAAGCCGTACCCAAAGTCCCGCTTCTGCCGAGGTGTCCCTGGTAAGTAGTGGAAGAGCTGCTGCACTAGCTTGACCCCACTGACCCAGCATCCGTCTTCGACACCCCCTGCACACTTACTTAATCCTTTTTTAGACGCCAAAATTCGCATCTTTGACCTGGGGCGGAAGAAGGCAAAAGTGGATGAGTTTCCACTCTGTGGCCACATGGTATCGGATGAATATGAGCAGCTCTCCTCTGAAGGTAAGGCCCCCAGTTGTCCTCCTGCTCCCTCAGCCCCATTTGCATGCACTGCACTGGTATTGGGAGTTTGAGCCTTTTCACAAAACTCAGCCAACACATTTCCCCGAAGCTGGAGATGGTCATGGTGGATGTTTCTCTACTGTCTTCTCTCACTTTGCTGCTTTCCTTCCCCCCTACCTAGCCCTGGAGGCTGCCCGAATTTGTGCCAATAAGTACATGGTGAAAAGTTGTGGCAAAGATGGCTTTCATATCCGAGTGCGGCTCCATCCCTTCCACGTCATCCGCATCAACAAGATGTTGTCCTGTGCTGGGGCTGACAGGTGAGCTTGGTCTGGGGCTTTGAAGGCAGTTATCCCATAACTTGCAGTCTCTACATTATTAGGCTTGCATTAATTTGTCAGAGCATAGAGGTGGCCCCAGTGACTCGGCCACTATGGCTGACTACTAGAAAAGCCAGGACACAGCTGGCAAGTGACTTTCAGTGGTCACTCAGTAGGACTCCTTCCTATGGAGTGTTGTGCATACAAACAAGAAAGCATGTGTAAGTCTTCGCAACCTCTTAGTCGCAGGTGAAGGGAAGCATGTGCAGTGGGAATGGCCTTCCTTGCTTCAGCTTGATGGCAGCCATCTGCCAGCAAGCAGGTAGAGCTGGCAGAGGAGCCCAGCGGTGCCCTGCGGGATATATCAGTGGTTCTTGGGATCCTCTGCAGCCAATTAAGCCGACTGGGTTCCTTTCCTCATGGGGGCCCAGTGTGCAATGGCTGCAAACAGCAGCTTCCTTGGTAGTGTATGCAGCCTGTTTCTTGTATGGGTTGCTCTAAGGGACCTTGGAGACAGGCCTTCCAGATGTATGTTCATGTGTCTCACCTTGCGCTGCCTCAATGTAGGCTCCAAACAGGCATGCGAGGTGCCTTTGGAAAGCCCCAGGGCACTGTGGCCAGGGTTCACATTGGCCAAGTGATCATGTCCATCCGCACCAAGCTGCAGAACAAGGAGCATGTGATTGAGGCCCTGCGCAGGGCCAAGTTCAAGTTCCCTGGCCGCCAGAAGGTATGTGGTGCTGCAGCCCCTTTCTCCCACCTTAACCTTGACGCAGGCCTCCTGACTCAGCTCTTTGCATTGCCCCCCTAGATCCACATCTCAAAGAAGTGGGGCTTCACCAAGTTCAATGCCGATGAATTTGAAGACATGGTGGCTGAGAAGCGGCTCATCCCAGATGGCTGTGGGGTTAAGTACATCCCCAATCGTGGCCCTCTGGACAAGTGGCGGGCCCTGCACTCATGAGGGTTTCCACTGTGCTACCCTCCCGTAATAATGAACCAATAAATTGACTTCCTGTCCACCTATGTCTTTGCATGTGCATTCTTGAGGGGAAGGAACTTCTCTGGGAACCTTGGAGTCATCATTGCCCTTTGACTTCAGAAACCGGTTAACAACTCAGCCCTGCTCATGAGGCAGCAAACCTTGGAAAGGGCATGGGCTGGTGTCCTGTGTCAGTTGTCTACTCTGGAACTTGACTTGGACCTCCCCAGGTCCTAGGCAGTACGTTGAAAAGCACAGCTGCAGCAAAGCCTTACAGTCCCGGGCTGAAGTCAGCCTCAGATTGTGTTACTTATTACAACACATGGGGGTGAAGAGAGCTTGTGGGCTAGAGGCTGACCTGCAGTGCCCCTGACCAGCAGCAGCCTTTATTTACCAAGGGTAGATGTGTGTCATGCTGGGTGTGGTTTCAGCCATCTGGTTTAGTCTCTGGAATCATCCAGGTAGTAATGGTGTCACCTGGGATTTGCCTATATCCAGCAGCCTCCTGAGCCCCATGCACCTACCCTTTCTGGAGCCTGCATTCGCAGAGCCCTCACCACCATTTGGTCTGGGCTGACCTTTGCTCCTTTGTAACAAAAAGACCTGGTAACAGATGTGGCATGCTTTTTGCCTGGGGAACCTGGATGTCTGAATTGAAACTTGTAGAACAGCAAAACAGCAATGACCCTTGGGGGAGCAGCAGAACAAGAAGAGTGCTGCGTGGGTGGTCTGAGCATCTGGGCCCAGGGACAGGAACTCCAAAGGCTTCTGGTTCCAGAGCTGGGGTATGGTGGCCCACTTGGCCCCAGCCTCCAGCCTGTGGCTCCGGAGGCCTCTGTTTTTTGTAATCTCAACTTACAGCCATTTCTAAGGGTTTTAATTACCTTCATTTATTTATTTTGCCAAACATACCTGGGAATACCTTTATTTTTGTTTACCTTGGGGCAATGGTTCCATACCGGAAATGTGATCAGAGTTAGTGCACGGCCTGTTGACTGCTCTTTTTGGGCAGTGGCAGGTGAGGAGGGAGGGCTCAGCAGGCTGCTCACCTTTTACTCTGTGTCCTGCAGCCCCTTTCCTGGGGCTCCTGGCTTCAAATAGGAGCTTTTTAGGTTACACAACTGGTGCATATTTTTTGTGTGCATCTGTTGCCTTAAGCAGCCTTGGCTGGACCTTGCCAGACAGGCAGAAGCCTGTGCCAACCCAGACAACAGCACCGGGTGGCAAGCACAGCTGCGTGGTGGTTACGACAGGCCTGACTGCAGTGCTCACTGATTACAATGAACTGAAACATTTCCTGGTGTTTGCTGGTTTCAGGGAAGTGGTTTGATGGAGTGGCTTAATCACCCTCCTTGTAGCTATGGGGGCTTCATGGTTTCCTGGTGATTCTTCCCAATCCACGATAAAGATGGCCCATTGGCATATGCACTAGTGCCCTACCTCCCCCATTGGAAGTTTTGTTCTCAGTAACTTTTCTTGTTACAGAAAGTCTTGATTCCTCTTTCTGAGCCCTCCCTTCCCCTCCCCCAACCCGGACCCCACTTTGTCTCCACTCCTGATACTACACTACCTGGCGGGTGGCATGAGTCCAGCCTTGGAGACCCGGGATTCCTCTCCTCATCTAGGCACAAGCCCAACCAAAGAACAAGAGCCAGATCAAACAAAAGGTGGGGGCGGACTGCAGTCACAGGGTCAGATCGACGGGGGAGGCTGGGGTTTGAGTCCTAAAAGGCAGCAGGCTCTAGAGCGGGGACGCTTAGGTGGCAGGGCACAGCTGAGGGGGCAGGAGTGACAGCAGCAACAGGACAGCAAGGCTGAGGGGCTGGACACTGTGCGCCTGGCTCAGCTTCAGCTCCACCTCCACGGGGTAGTGGTCACTGATGTTGAGGGCCTGAGAATAGGTGGTGGCGCAGTGTCAGTGCTTGGGGCCAAGGGGCTTCCCGGTGACACAGCTCCTGCCCTCCCTCCTTGGCCTCATCCCATCACCTCCTCCTCGGTGAGCTGGAAGCTAGTGGGGAAGTCAAAGGCTGCCGCAGTGTGCAGCAGGCTCTGACAGCGCTCCCCGTGCAGCACGATGCGGTCATAGGTGCAGTGGGTGCTGGCCCGCACCGTGGTGTCCTCCCCATCGGCAATCACCCAGTGGAAGCCTGGCTCTGTCCGCAGCTCCAGCTTGTCTAGGCGCTTTTTGGTCAGTGACGCACAGTCAGCATTGAAGTCCCCAAGCAGGATCACATCCTAAAGACAGAGCAGCCATCGGGCTGGCCACTGAGCCACCCTGTTGTCCCTCCCGTGCAAACTGCCCAGGCCTACCTACCTTGGTCTGCCAGTGCTGGGAGACCTCCAGAAACACATGGTAGAGGGCATTCAGCTCCTTCTCCACGGCCTTAGGAGTGGTGTGCAGTGGAACCAACACCAGGCTGGGAAGGACTGCAAGGCCCAGAGACTGAGGGCTGCCATCCACTCCTGGCCCTTCTTCCCTAGCCCCTCTGGGTGAGGAATTCCCCAGTGGAGCCAGCCAGACCCCACCCTTCTGCTCCCACATACCAAGCCCACCCTTCTTCCCTTCCTACCCTTGCTGGGCAAAGAGAACTGGGCCACAAATGGCTCCCGGGCGAAGAGATCATCCTTGTCGTTGTACACGTAGAAACTCAGGACCTGTGTTTTATGTGACCTGGGAGGACCAAGGGATGGGCAGCAATGGCCCCACGTCACTGATTTTCGCTTGCAAGTGCCAAACAGCACTCAGGGAGGGGCCTGTCTCTAATCTTAACCCTCCACCAACATCTGCAATGTGGCACAGCCCTCCTAGCCTGTCTCTAGAACTTTAAAAAAAATCAGACATAATTCATATGCCATAAAATTCACCTGCTTCAAGTATACAACCCGTTTTTTTTTTTTTTTGGACACTCACAAGGCTATTCAACTATTGCTACAATCAATTTTAAAACATCATCACCCATTCCCCCTAAGAAAAACATAACATCCATTACCAGTTACTCGCCATTCTCCGTGCAACCATTATCGGTCCTCTATCTTGTACATTTGCCTATTCTGGATATTTCACACAAATGAAATCAGATCATCTGTGGCCCTTCGGTTCCTGCAATGTATCCCACGTTCATCCATGCTGTGGCACATATCTGTGCTTCATTCCTCTTTCTGGCTGAATAATACTCCCCGGACCAGGTATAGTGTATTTTGTCATTTGGACACTTTGATGTCATCTTTTTTTTGGAGACAGGTCTCACTCTGTTGCCCAGGCTAGAGTGCAGTGGCACAATCATAGCTCACTGCAGCCTTGAACTCCTGGGCTCAAGTGATCCTGCTGCCACAGCCCCCAAAGCACTGGGATCACAGGCGTGAGCCACTGTACCCTGGCTACCCAGTTATTTTGGAGCAAATACCAGACCTCATGTAATTTTATTTATATAAAGAATTCGTTCTTCCCTGTAGCCTGCCTCCCTTGCCCTCTGGATCCTGACTGCAAAGGGCTCCCCACCAGCCTATCCTCCCAGGGACTTAGGAGCTCTGATCTACCCAAGGCCCATAAGTGGCCCACATGGAGCCTCTTGCCAGGAGCAGAAGCTACCACAGGAGAGAGGAGGAGGGACCCCATGTTTGTGCTTGGAGAAGGAAGGCCTCCTGCTCTATGGACACTCTGTTGGGGATCAAGGATGGGAAGAGCCCAGAATAAAAGGTGTTGGGAAGAGAAAGCATGCTAAGCAGGTGAGGCTGTCCCAGGATGGGGGCCTATGGCCCTGGGGACTAATGAGCCACCTCACATGAGGGCCAAGGATGCCCCTCCCCCCACCCCCCACTGCACTGCCAGCTCCATGCTTACCGATAGAAGTACACATAGGTCTCCATGTAGGTGCTGCGCCCCAGCTGGGGGCTGCTCAGGGTGCTGTAGGGCCCAGAGCCATCAAATCTGCTGACAAAAGGGGAGGCGGGGTCAGGGCCTCGAGACTCTCGGTGTGCCCCTGATTAGACCCACAGAGCTTTCCTCACCGATTGAGTTCTCGAAGCAGGAGGGGGATGGCACTGCCGGAAGAGTCCACCACCTCCTGCAGCACTGAGATGTCACAGCGAGCCAGGATCTGCGAAACACCGGGAAGGCCAGCCTGATGCAGTGCTAGCTGCCCTGAGAGGAGGCAGTGGGCCCAGGAAACTGGCACTGTTGTGGCCAAGAATGTTAAGGCTCACTGGCTGCAGCCCACAGAAAGCAGTAGGACTGGAAAGGCCCCAGAAGACTCATCCCACCCACAGGCCACCTGTTTCACAGAGGAAGCGACTGAGACCAATGGCAGCCAAGCACCTGTGCTGCATCTCCACACCACACCTCTTCCCTCTTCCTGTCCCCTCTTCTCTGGGACATACTGCTGGCCAGGCAGGGCTGGGGGCTTTGGGTCATGGTGATTAGGGACACAGCTTCCCTGAAGCAATGAACCTACCCGAACTAAGGTGTCCATCACCTGCTCCCTGGCCACCTTGGCCAGCGTCAGCCGCTGGGCATTGAAGGCGCAGATGCGAAAGGCCTGGGCCTCATTGGCCAGGATGAGGAAGAGGAGTGCAGCTGGGTAATGCATGGCTGCGTATGGCTGCCGGGCCCCCCCAGGAATCCAGGCTGCGCCAGGGTACACTCTCAGCTGGGCTCAGTTCTGGCTCTGGAAGGGCACGGATATGGAACAGAGAAAGGGGCACTAGCTGCTGCCCAGCACCAGCCTCCCAGAGCTGCTGGCCCACAGGTTCCCCACCCTTCTCCCTGTGGCCACCTGCTGATGTGTGCGTGTATGGCTTGACAGCATTTTTTTTTTTTCTTTTTTTTGTTGAAACGGTGTCTCACTCTGTTGCTGGTCTGGAGTGAATTGGCACAATCTTGGCTCATGGCAACCTCTGCCTCCTAGGTTCAAACGATTCTCCTGCCTCAGCCTCCTGAATAGCTGGGACTACTGGTGTGCACCACCACGCCCAGCTAACTTTTTTTTTGAGACAGAGTCTCACTGTCACCAGGTGCCAGGCTGGCGTGCAATGGCACAATCTCGGCTCACTGCAAACTCCACCTCCCGGGTTCAAGCAATTTTTCTGCCTCAGCCTCCCGAGTAGCTGGGACTACAGGGGCGCACCACCACGCCCAGCTAATTTTTGTATTTTTAGTAGAGACGGGGTTTCACCATGTTGGCCAGGATGGTCTCTGTCTCTTGACCTCGTGATCCACCTGCGTCAGCCTACCAAAGTGCTGGGATTACAGGTGTGAGCCACCGTGCCCAGCCCTAATTTTTTTATTTTTAGTAGAGATGGGGTTTCACCATGTTGGCCAGGATGGTCTCTAATCTCTTGACCTCGTGATCCACCTGCCTCAGCCTCCCAAAGTGCTGGGATTACAGGCATGAGCCACCGTGCCCAGCCTGACAGCATCTTTTCATTTAAAAATTGTTTTCAAGGCTGGGCACAGTGACTCAGGCCTGTATTCCCAACATTTTGGGAGGTTGAGATGGGCAGATGAAGTTAGGAGTTTGAGACCAGCCTGGCCAACATGCGGAAACCCCACCTATACTAAAAATACAAAAATTAGCCAGGTGTGGTGGTGTGCACCTGTAATCCCAGCTACACAGGAGGCTGAGGCAGGAGAATCACTTGAACCTGGTGAGGTGGAGGTTGCAGTGAACCAAGATTGCGCCACTGCAATCCAGTATATGTGACAGAGCAAGACTCCATCTCAAAGAAAAAAAAAATTCTTTTTGAGACAGAGTCTCACTCTGTGGCCCACGCTGGAGTACAGTGGTGAGATCTTGTTGAACAACTCCTGACCTCGTGATCTGGCCACCCTGGCCTCCCAAAATGCTGGAATTACAGGTGTGAGCCACCACGCCCTGCCTTTTTTTTTTTTTTTTTTGAGACGGAGTCTCACACTGTCACCCTGGCTGGAGTGCAGTGGTTCGATCTCCACTTACTGCAACCTCCACCTCCCAGGTTCAAGCAATTCTTCTGCCTTAGCCTCCCGAGTAGCTGGGACTACAGGTGCACACCACCATGCCCGGCTAATTTTGGTATTTTTAGTAAAGTCAGGGTTTCAGCGTATTAGCCAGGTTGGTCTCAAACTCCTGACCTCGTGATCCTTTACCTCAGCCTCCCAAAGTGCTGGGATTACAGATGTAAGCCACCGCACCTGGCCTAATTTTTGTATTTTTAATAGAGATGGGGTTTTGCCATGTTGACCAGGCTGGTCTCAAACTCCCGACCTCAGGTGATCTGCCCACCTTGGCCTCCCAAAGTGCTGGGATTATAGGCATGAACCACCAAGCCTGGCCTCTTTTTTTAAATTGTGGTAAAATATACATAGCATAAAATGGACCAGATTAATCACTTTTAAGTGTATAGTTCAGTGGCATTAAGCATACTCATAGTGTTGTGTAACCATCGTCACCATTCATCCACAAACCTTTTTCATCTTCCCAAACTCTGTCCTCATTAATTACTAACTCCCCATTCCCCTTCTTCTAGCCCTTGGCACTCACCATTCTACTGTCTGTGTCTGTGAACTTCACTACTCTAGATCCCTAATAGAAGTGAACCCCCCCCCAAAAAAAGAAGTGAAATCCGGCCAGGCGCGGTGGCTCACACCTGTAATCCCAGCACTTTGGGAGGCCGAGGTGGGTGGATCACCTGAGGTCGGGCGTTCGAGACCAGCCTGACCAACATGGAGAAACCCTGTCTCTACTAAAAATACAAAAATTAGCCAGGCATGGTGGCGCATGCCTGTAATCCCAGCTACTTGGGAGGCTGAGGCAGGAGAATCACTTAAACCGGGAGGCAGAGGTTGCAGTGAGCCAAGATTGCACCACTGCACTCCAGCCTGGGCGACAGAGCGAAACTCCATCTTAAAAACTATTTTTTAAAAAAGAATTAAAATCCTACACGGCCAGGTGCGGTGGCTCAAGCCTGTAATCCCAGCACTTTGGGAGGCCGAGGTAGGCGGGTCACTTGAGGTCAGGAGTTTGAGACCAGTCTGGCCAACATGGTAATACCCTGTTTTCTACAAAAACCACAAAAATTAGCTGGGCGTGGTGGTATGCAGCTGTAATCCCAGCTGCTCAGGAGGCTGAGGCAGAAGAATCAGCTTAAACCCAGGAGGTGAAGGTTGTAGTGAGCCAAGATCTTGCCACTGCACTCCAGACTGGGCGACAGAGTGAGAGTCCGTCTCAAAAAAAAAGTGAAATTCTACAGCATTTACCTTTCTGTGACTGGCTCATTTCACAGGACTGAGGACTGAGCAAAATGTCCTCAAGGGTCATTCCTGCTGGAGCGCAGTGTCAGAATTTCTTTCCTTTTCCTGGCCGAATCATATTTCATCGTCTGGGTAGACCACATTTTATTCATCATTCATCCATCTGGTTCGCATTGTTGTTTTTAAGTAGAGACGCAGTCTCCCTGTGCTGCGCAGGCTGGTCTTGAACTCCTGGGCTCAAGTGATTCTCCAGCCTGAGCCTCCCAGAGTGCTGAGACTGCAGGAATGAGAGCCCTGGTGCCCCAGCCTCATGCGTCTGTTGATGGTCCCTGGGTCGCATCTACCTTTTGGCTACTATGAACAGTACTGCTATGAATGTTGGGGTATACATATCTGGAGTTCCTGATTTAAGTTCTTTTGGGTATATACTCAGAAGTGGAATTCTATTTTTAATATTCTGAGGAACTGTCATATTGGTCTCCGTTGTGATCGGCACCATTTTACATTCCCACCAACAGTGCACAAGTGGTCAAGCTTATTCTTTGATTATTTATTTGAGACAAGGTCATGCTCTGTCACCCGGATTGGAGTGCAATGGTGCCATCACAACTCACTGCAGCCTTCTGAAGTCTATGTTTCCCAGGCTGGTCTCAAACTCCTGGACTCAAGTGATCTTCCTACCTCAGCTTCCCAAAGTGCTGGGTTATTATAGGCCTGAGCCACTGCACCTGGCCTAGTTCACTTTTTCTTTTCTTTTTTTCAGATAGAGTCTCATTCCATTGCTCAGGCAGGAGGGCGGTAAAGTGATTTCAGCTCACAGCAACCTCCACCTTCCAGGCTCAAGTGATCCTCTCGCCTCAACCTTCCGAGTAGCTGGGACTACAGGCGTGTGCCACTACAGCCAGCTAATTTTTTTTTTTTTTGTATTTTTAGAAGAGATGGGGGTTTCACCATGTTGGCCAGGCTGGTCTCAAACTCCTGACCTCGTGATCCACCCACCTTGGCCTCCCAAAGTGCTGGGATTACAGGCTTGAGCCACCACACCTGGCATTTTTTTTTTTTTGAGAGGGAATCTCACTCTGTCTCCCAGGCTGGAATGCAGTGGTGCAATCTCGGCTCCCTACAACCTCTGCCTCCCAAGTTCAAGCGATTCTCCCGCCTCAGCCTCCTGAGTAGCTGGGATTACAGGTGTGTGCCACCACATCTGGCTGAGTTTTGTATTTTTAGTAGAGACAGGGTTTTACCATGTTGGCCCGGCTGGTCTCAAACTCCTGACCTCAAGTGATCCATCTGCAGGAGCATCTTCGTTCATCTCAGCCTCCCTACCTGTGAGGTGTTCTCTTTAAGATAAACTCCCAGCAGTGAATTGCTGGATACAAGGGTGTGTTCGTGTAACCAGATCTCAGATATGGCCAAATATTCCCCATTGCAACCGGTGATGGGGCCTCTTTCCCCTGTACCTATCACCACTGGGGAGCCCTTCTTGTTCATCTCACCAGCTGGAGCCCCCCGCTCTCGGTTTATCTTTGTCTCACGCTCACCTGACCTTGCTGGGCTCAGCCCCTTGCTCCACACCCTGTCCATGTGGCTTGCATCCTGAGGCATGAGTTCCTCTGCTCTGCCTGCTTTTCTCCACCAGACTGTCACCTTCCCTTCCGCCTCAGTTCCTGCGTCTCTGAGGCTCTGCCTGTCTCTGTCTCACCTTCCCTCTCTACTCTGTTTTCCCTTATCTGTTTCTCTGTTGTGGTGTCTCTCTCCTGGCTAGGTTTCATGTCTGTTTCTCCCTGACCACCTGCTCTGTCACTCATGCTAGTTTGGGTTCCCTGCCCTGGTGCCTATTCTAGGATATATGTGGGCATATGGGCAGCTCTGGGCTGGTACAGGCAGCCTTGGCAGCTCTGGTGTCAGAGACCCCCACGAGGGCTACCAGCAAGAACCAGAGAGCAACTGTTCCTGGCCTCCGCCCCAAACGCTGGCTGTCAACATCAGCCTTAGCTGGAGCCATGGGGTTCCCTCCCCCTCTGGAGCCCTTCCCAGGCAGAAGGCAACTTCCTCCCTTCTTCCGTCTCACCAGGGGGCTCCCATACCTGCTTAGACCAGCTTGTCACCAAGTCTGCCTCATCCTTAAGTGGATCGCGACATTCCAGAAGAGCAGCTCCTGCCCGGATAGGGTTAGGAAGGGGAAAAAAGAGGAAGAGGCTGTGTTCCTGAGCCACCCGGCCGGCCGGGAAGGGCCAGAGGCCCCACCCTGGCCGACAGCAGGCCCGCCCCGGCTCCGCCCCGCCGCCGGCCAGGAGGGCGAACGCCGCGCCTGGGAACTGCTGACCTGCCCGCCCACCTTCCCACCCAGATCCCTCCTTCCCGGGCCAGCGGGACGAGACAGACCTGTGAGTCACTCAAGCGCGGCAGGCCAGCAGTCTCTGCGGCTGAGCAGCAGCAGTCCCTTAATGAGCAGTTACCTGTGCCACGGCCCAGGGGCAAGGAGGAGCTGGCGCCTGAGTGAGACCTCGAGCTTCACTCGTCCAGCCCGTCGCTCAGCCCCCGGTCCAGGTACTGAATCAGGAGCTGCTGGGAAGGCGCAGTAGCTGGAAGTCGTGCCCAACGCTGCGAGACTGGGCATCCCAACGACACGAGTCTTCTGTCCCTGCTCTCAGGTTCTGAGTCCCATTGTGGCTGCACACTCCTGAGTTAGGAGACCCAAAGTGAGGGACAGTTCGAACACGATCTGGCCATGGTCGTGAGGTCAAGGGGACTGAGGATCTGCTCCAGAGAGGAGGAGACCCAGGGAGCTGGCAGTCCAACATCCCGTGGGGTCCTGCAGTGACGCTGTTGGGACAACTGAGGTGCTCCTACGGGGTCTGTGAGCCGGCAGTGGGGTCGAATCCACTCAGCTCCTCATGGGATAGTTGCAGCAACTCGGGAGGCTGAGGCAGGAGAATTGCCTGAACCCAGAAGGCGGAGGTTGCGGTGAGCCGAGATGACGCCATTGCACTCCAGCCTGGGTAACAAGAGCTAAACTCCGTCTCAAAAAAAAAAAAAAAAAAAAAAAATTAGCCGGTCATGGTAGCACAAGTCTGTAATTCCAGCTACTTGGGAGGTTGAGGCAGGAGAATTACTTGAACCCGGGAGGCAGAGGTTGCAGGGAGCCGAGATTGTGCCACTGCACTCCAGCCTGGGCAACAAAAGTGAAACGCTATCTCAAAAAAAAAAAATAAAAATAAAAACCTGGGCAGGGTGAGGTGGCTCATGCCTGTAATCCCAGCACTTTGGGAGGCCGTGGCAGGCGGACACCAGGTCAAGACATCGAGACCATCCTGGTCAACATGGTGAAACCCCATCCCTACTAAAATACAAAAATTAGCTGGGCATGGTGGCACAGGCCTGTAGTCCCAGCTACTTGGGAGACTGAGGCAGGAGAATTGCTTGAACCCAGGATGCAGAGGTTGCAGTGAGCTGAGATCACGCCACTGCACTCCAGCCTGGCACCTGGCGACAGAGCGAGACTGTCTCAAAAAATAAATAAAAAATTAAAAACTGGCTGCTTAATGCATTGGGGGCTTTCTTTCTGGGTCATGACTGTTTCAGAACTAGAGGTATCAGATGGTATAAAATACTGTTTCTCGGCTGGACGCGATGAGTCATGCCTGTAATCCTAGGACTTTGGGAGGCCGAGGCAGGAGGATCACATGAGGTCAGGAGTTCGAGACCAGCCTAGCCAACATGGCGAAACCCCGTCTCTACTAAAAATACAAAAAAAAAAGCCAGGTGTGGTTGTGCCTACCTGTAATCCCAGCTGCTTTAATCTGGGAAGCCAAGATGGTGCCATTGCACTCCAGCCTGGGTGACAAAAGTGAAACTCCGTCTTAAAAACAAAAAACTGTTTCTTGTGTTACATACAATACACAATATATTGCTGTATATACTGTATATTCTGCCACAAAGTAGATTATATATTGCTACATATACATATTCTCATGTAGTACTGTAACTATGTAAAATTGTTTACATGGTCGGGCGCGGTGGCTTACGCCTGTAATCCCAGTACTTTGGGAGGAGGAGGCGGGTGGATCACCTGAGGTCAGGAGGTAGAGACCAGCCTGGCTAACATGGTGAAACCCCGTGTCTACTAAAAATAGAAAAATTAGCCGAGGGTGGTGGCGCACGCTCTTGGTCCCAGCTACTCAGGAGGCTGAGACAGCAGAATTGCTTGAGTCTGGGAGGTCGAGGCTGCAGTGAGCCGTGATAGCACCACTGCACTCCAGCCTGGGTCTGCCTGGACCCTGTGTCAAACAAAAACCAGAAATACGAGAGACAAAAGACTAACGCAAATGGCTGCTGAGAAGCCGGAGCCCCGCGGGAGCGGGGCCACTTCCCGTGGTCCCCGGCCTTGTCTCGCTGCCGTAAAGCGGTCCGGGCGCGCTTTGCGACAGTCGGCGAGAAGCCAGGCACCGGCGCAGGCTCGCTTTCCGGCGGGTGCGCGGGGCCAGGCTGCCAGCACCTGCCTTCTCGTTCCCGCCTGTTCCGCAGCGCACCCACGGCCTGTGACCCCAGCGACCGCTCCTCAGTGGGGAGAGAGCGGGGCCGGGAGAGGCTCCGGCCTGACCTGCGAAAGGACCTCGGTCCAGTCCCCAGTCGCGCCGCGTCTCCTGTCCGTTTGTGCGCGGGCCTGTCAGGGCCTGGTGTCTCCAGCGATCCAGGTCGCAGACCTAGAGGCTCCCCACAGGCCAGCCCGGGGCGCGGGGAGCGCCGGCCGGATAGGGATGCCCCTGCACGTGAAGTGGCCGTTCCCCGCGGTGCCGCCGCTCACCTGGACCCTGGCCAGCAGCGTCGTTATGGGCCTGGTGGGCACCTACAGCTGCTTCTGGACCAGTGAGTGGGCCCAGGCCGAGGCAGGCCCGCCCGGGTACACAAGCTCGGCCAGAAGTGGATTCAGGGTGGGGGACGCCGCGGCCCTGGCCTGGCAGGTGAGCCCTGAGCGTCTGACCTCTCCTTCCCCGCCAGAGTACATGAACCACCTGACCGTGCACAACAAGGAGGTGCTGTACGAGCTCATCGAGAACCGAGGCCCGGCCACGCCCCTCATCACCGTGTCCAATCACCAGTCCTGCATGGATGACCCTCATCTCTGGGGTACCTGGGCCAGTGTGCCGGGCAGGGGGAGGAAGGATGAGGATTCGGGAGGGGCCCAAATTCCTCAGAACAAAACCCTTCTCACTGCCTTTTCATGGAGCCCTGGCACTCTGGTTTCTGGGTGTTCTGCCCCAGGGCTGAGACTTTGATGTGTGGCTCCTGCAGCATCCCCTGAGGGAGCATGATTTGCAGAGGGCCTGGGGAATGGAGCAGGACCGAAGAAGGGCCACAGGGCAGGTCTTACAGCTCCTTTGGCGTCAGGCTGTAAAATTTGGTAAGAATAATCCTATTAAGAATTTTGGCCGGGCGCGGTGGCTCACACCTGTAATCCCAGCACTTTGGGTGTCCGAGGCAGGCGGATCACCTGAGTTCAGGAGATTGAGACCATCGTGGGTAACTCGGTAAACTCTCTTTTCTTTAAACCATCCAGGGCCCCACAGTCTTGCGGAAAAACTGGGGTTGGTCATAGAGTATTTTGTGAGGAAGTTCTGAGCCAGAGACTGGAAACCCAGTGTCCTAGCTCCAGATTTGCCCCTGGCTTGGCCTGTACCCTTCAGCCAGCCCTATGTGGGAGCCTGATTGCCACACTGAGGAGTTCCTACTCTGCTGACTTCACAGGAAGTTACTTGGCTCCGATAAACTGATGGCTGGGTGGAGGGGTACCCGGGGCCTCCACTCCTGAACAGAGGGGTTAAACTGTCCTAGAACTCATGGGAACCCACCTGGCCACACTGGAGCCCTTCAGAGCTCACCCTGGCTGCTGGGTGGAGAAAGGCCTAGAGATGCCACAGGTGGCTCCTGAGAAGTCAGGAAGGAGGCCTTGGAGCCATCTAGTGGCCTAGACTGGGCTGGTGGCAGTGACAGTACAGGGAAAAGTATAGAAGAATGGCCACCGTCCAAGTATGTTGGGGAGGATATGGAGTAAGTTGAGTAAGATGTGGAGGATGGGGGAGAGGGAGAGCTGAACGGTCCGGAATAAGTGTCTGAAAGATGCCACTTTGGGCTGTAGGGAAATGGTAGCGCTGCTGTCCTTGTCCCTCATTCCCTGAAATGGGATGAAGGAAAGGCACTCCCTGGGTATAAGGGAAGCCTTTCCTCTCCTCTAGGGATCCTGAAACTCCGCCACATCTGGAACCTGAAGTTGATGCGTTGGTGAGGAGGAAAGGGCCCCACCTGCCTCTGTCCAGATTTGCCTTCCTCCTGCTCTGCCCAGGAGGTGGCGTCCAGCAGTCCAGATGGGGCAGGGGGTGGGGCCCATAGGGCCCCACCCCCTGTGCCTCCCTTCTGCATGCCAATGCTGGGGGCAGGGTGGTGGAGTGGGGTGTAGGGGGCAGGACTGATGGCATCCGTCCTTGCTCAGGACCCCTGCAGCTGCAGACATCTGCTTCACCAAGGAGCTGCACTCCCACTTCTTCAGCTTGGGCAAGTGTGTGCCTGTGTGCCGAGGTGAGCTGCTCCTCCTGCAAGTGCAGGGAGGCTCTTCTGGGGCAGGAAAGCTAGTGGCCAGTGTCTCTGTTTTGGAGGGATCCATGTGGGCAGGGAGCCCAGGAGCCAGCATGAGACCCAGCTTCATCACATGGCAGCAGAAGGGGCAGAGGCTGCGGGAGGAGGGACAGCTCCCTGGAGAGCCCTCAATTCTCTGCAACTGCCCAGGGATCATGTGGACCTGGAGCCTTGGCATTAGAATTGAAGGAGGTATTATCCACACCCCATTCTCTCAGGGAGGTCACTAACAGACTCATTGAGAACAGTGCATTGTCTTTTTTTTTTTTTTTTAAGAACAGTGCATTGTCATTGGTCCATGATGGCAGTAGCATGTGCCTGCAGGCCAGAGGGTTTTGTTTCTAGGAGAACAAACAGGCTTGGGGGGTGAGAACCCCAGGGGATAGGGGCCATTTTGATCCCTATTCTCCAGATAGGGAGGCTCAGAGAGATTAAGCAGCTGGCCCAAGGTCGTGGGGTGAGGAGGTGGCAAAGCCAGGATTTGATCCAGATTGCTCTTTCCTCTGTGGGAACAATTTTTCTAAGCAGAGAATGAGAGGAAAGGTGTTAGACACAGGCAAGCACATGCCAGGTGCTGGAGAAAGGTACAGCGCTTCACACTTGCCATCCTGGCACTTTGTGAGGTTGAAGAGGGAGGATCACTCAAGCCTAGGAGTTTGAGACCAGCCTGGGCAACATAGTGAGACCTGGTCTCTTTAAAAATAAAAATATTTTTAAAACAAAAGGGAGAAAGTATAAGTTGTGCGTAGAATGTGAAGGTTCTAGGATAATCCTATTAAGAATTTTGGCCGGGTGTGGTGGCTCATGCCTCTAATCCCAGCACTTTGGGAGGCCGAGGCAGGTGGATCACCTGAGGTCAGGAGATTGAGACTATCATGGCTAACTCAGTAAAACCTGGTGTCTACTAAAAATACAAAAAATTAGCTGGGTGTGGTGGCACATGCCTGTAGTCCCAGCTACTCGGGAGGCTGAGGCAGCAGAATCACTTAAACCTGGGAGGTGGAGGTTGCAGTGAGCTGAGATTGTGCCACTGTACTCCAGCCTGAGTGAGAGAGCGAGACTTCGTCTCAAAAAAAAAAACAAAACAAAAACACAACGGTTCATGATTGTAATCCCAGCACTTTGGGAGGTTGAGGCAGGTGGATCACAAGGTCAAGAGATGGATACCATCCTGGCCAACATGGTGAAACCCTTCTCTACTAAAAACACAAAAATTAGCTGGCAGTGGTGGCGCACACCTGTAGTCCCAGCTATTCAGGAAGCTGAGGCAAGAGAATCACTTGAACCTGGGAGGCGGAGGTTGTAATGAGCCAAGACTGTGCCAGTGCACTCCAGCCTGGCAACAGAGCAAGACTGTCTCAAAAAAAAAAAAGGCCGGGCGCAGTGGCTCATGCCTTTATCCCAGCACTTTGGGAGGCTGAGGCGGGTGGATCACGAGGTCGAGATCGAGACCATCCTGGTCAACATAGTGAAACCCTGTCTCTACTAAATACAAAAAATTAGCTGGGCACGGTGGCGTGTGCCTGTAATCCCAGCTACTTGGGAGGCTGACACAGGAGAATCGTTTGAACCCAGGAGGCGGAGGTTGCGGTGAGCCAAGGTCGCGCCATTGCACTCCAGCCTGGGCAACAAGAGCGAAACTCCGTCTCAAAAAAAAAAGAATTTTGGACTCTAGCTGGCTGTATTGCACCTCAGCCTCCTGACGAGTGAGGATTGCTTGAGCCCTGGAATTTTTTTTCTTGAAACAGGGTCTCTTTCTGTTGCCCAGGCTACAGTGCAGTGGCATGATCATGGCTCACTGCAGCCTCCATCTCCTGGGTTCAAGTGATCCTCCCACCTCAGCCTTCTGAGCAGACTAAGGCATGTGCCACCACGCCTAGCTAATTTTATTTATTTATTTTGTGTGTAGAGATGGGGTCTTACTACATTGCCAGAGCTGGTCTCTAGCTCCTAGACTCAAGTGATCCTCCTGCCTTGGCCTCCCAAAATGCTGGGATTACAGGCATGAGCCATTGTGCCTAATCTAGCCCAGGAATTCAAGGCCAGCCTTGGCAATACAGTGAGACCCCAGGTCTCAAAATAATAAACAAAAGGCTAGGCACAGTGGCTCACACCTGTAATCTCAACACTTTGGGAGGCTGAGATAGGTGGATCACTTGAGGTCAGGAGTTTCAGACTAGCCTGGCCAATATGGTAAAACCTGGTCTCTACTAAAAGTACAAAAATTCGCTGGATGTGGTAGCACACACCTGTAATCTCAGCTACTCGGGAGGCTGAGGCGGGAGAATCGCCTGAACCCAGGAGGCGGAGGTTGCAGTCAGCTGAGATCACGCCACTGCACTCCAGCCTGGGTGACAGAGTGAGACTTCATCTCAAAAAAAAAAAAAAAGATTTTTGTACTTGACTGTGCTCTCTCATCCAGGTGGTGACATTCTTGTGTCTGGTTAAGAGATAGCATCCTAGCTGCAATGTGGGTGCCTGAGTGGCAGCAGGGCTAGGTGGACGTGAGGAGCCCAGGTCAGGGCTGTCACTGTAGCTCTGGCAGCAGATGATTGTGGTTGGGCCTCCAAGCATCGCTGTGGCGAACGAGAAAATGGAACCACTTTGAGATTTACTCTGGACTTGTTGATAGATTAAGTGTAGGGTGGGGTAAGAAAGAGAACTCAAAAATGACACCAGGCATCTCAGCTGAGCCATGGGAAGAATGGGGCAAAGGGAAAGCAGTGCGGGGACTGGGAGGGGACAGGGTGAGTCCCATTTTGCTTGTGCTGCATCTGAGGAGCCTGTTGCCTGTGGAAGGGGAACAGTTCTAGAGTATGTAGCTCTGGAACTTAGAAGCATGATTAGGAATAAAGATATTGGGAATTCAACCACAAAGTCACAAATGGAGAGTGAGAGTTTGTGGAGAGAGGGCAGAGGCCCAAGATAGCACAGAGGGAGAGAGAAGCCACCAACGTGGCAGAGAGCCGTGGCCAGGGAGAAAAGCAGCAAACCAGGGGCCTGTGGCACTATGGAACAGGTGACGCTAGAGAAGCGTGTCCATGGAGTGACAGCTGCAGTGATGGGGGTGAGGAGGTGGCAGGGGTGGCAGCTCCTCCCAGAGGTTCAGTTGCGAGGAGAAAGAGAAAGAAGGAAGTAACCAAAGGATATAGATCAAGGAAGAGTTTATTATTATTATTATTTCTAACTGGTCAAAGTAGAACGTGGTGAAACCCAATAAAGTAACAACAAATAACAAAGAGGGGCTTTTAATGGAAAGTGCCCGCCCTTGGCCTCAGAAGCAGCCCCCGGGGTAGTTTCTCATTCTGCTGCTTTTGGAGGCTACTTCTGCCTCTGTAAAGGAACAAGCAGTGGCCACAGTGTCTTGCAAATGACTGTGGCATCATTCATCCCAACCTGCTCTGAGAGACAGGGACTCTACTCATTCACCCCCCGCCCCTGCCGCCCAGTTCCTCCAACAAAGAACTAATCATATGTCATTAAGGCAAAGGACATATTTGGCACACTTAGCTTCTGTGTTCCAAAGTTCCCTTTGATGGGGTATGTAAGTACTGAAGGGATTTGACACAAGCGACACAAGTGAGTGGTAGTAGCATTTGCAGAAGTTACAAACGATGGAGTCTTGCTCCAAAAGCATATTATTATTGTTTTTTAAAGTCTAGCTTCAAGCTCAGTGGATAGGTTGCACCAGTGGGTTTCAGTAGAGAAGGGCCAGGAGCTATGAAGATTCCCCACTAATGTTACACATGCTGCGTCCCAAGTAGGGAAACTGCTGCTTTTCCCATGCCCTGGGCAAACTCCAGTGGGCCATCGCCCTCTCCCTGTAGCCCAAGTGGGCTGCTGGGTCAGGGCCCTCTTTGGGTTGGGTTAAGACTCCTGGATCCCTGACTAGCACCTTCCAAAGAATTGGCCTTGCAGAGAACAAGTTCAAAGTTCATTGGCCAGAGGTATTCCCAATGTCTGGTCTCTCCATCTGTGGTAGGGGTCTTTACTCCCCACTTTATAAGATGAGGATGTCTGCTGTACCCCATTCCTTCAACCTCTCTACCTCCTCTTTGCTGTTTTGTCCACCACATGGTTACTTTTCCATCACTGAGGCTGATGATCCTTACTGTGTACTTACTGTCTCCAAGCGTCCCCAGGCTGCCAGCCAGCACGCAGCGGCAGGCAGAAGGAAGGAGGTTTGCATTTCCTTCTCCTGGGTCCAGTGTCATAGTCTCAGGGTTATTATCTCCAAGGTGCAATGTTGCTAGATCAGGAGCAGTTCGACTCCACTGTTTTCAGTCTAGCAAGTTTGAGTTTTTTCCAAGAGCCCTCCCTCTTGGAAGGGTCTAGTTTTCCGGGGCACCCTGAGAAGAAGGGGCCAGCAGGAGGGAGCAATGGTGGAGGCTGAGGCCTCAGGCAGGTTCCCTGTGAGGAGCAGCTGTGCGAGTGGCCGACACCCCAGGAAAGGGTTGTTGCCCAGAATCTGCGGCCTATGCGAGGTTGCAAATTACAAATGCACTTGGTTTTTCCAGCAGCCAGCACGTGGTAGGATCACCCCAGCACTGGTGCCTTCAAGGAGAAAGGAAGGCGTGAGGCTCCGAGAGCAGTCGGCTGGCAGCCAGGGCCTGGCCAGGGAGGGAGGGCAGCTGGTGTGCTGGCCTGGGGGTCTTTGACAGTGTGCAGGGTATGTGGCTGAAGTAGCCCAGCTGGTGAGCCCCTGAAGAGGGGGTCATAGGTAGATGGAGGGACTGCCAGGTCAGAATCTCAGTAGGAGATGGCTAGAGATGAGGCTGCCTGGCACAAAGGATTTTAGAAGATACTAGGAAGGAAGCGCCACAGTGCCCAGGGGCCAAGCAGGCCTCATTGGAGGGCGTCTGTGTGGATGGCAGAGTGGGATGGGAAGTCCCTAATCTGCTGGGGCTTTCCGAGGGACAGGGGACTGAGGGGGATAGTCCCCAACACATGGGCCCCAGGGAGAAGGGCCTGTTTCGTTGAGGTTTTGAGAGAGTTGAGGGTACGCTAACCCGCCACCCCATGCTCCCAAGAACGGGGACTGATGGGGAGAGGCCTTTTCCTTGCAGGAGATGGCGTCTACCAGAAGGGGATGGACTTCATTTTGGAGAAGCTCAACCATGGGGACTGGGTGCACATCTTCCCAGAAGGTCAGCAGGGCTGACTGGGTCGAATCCCCCCAGTCTGAGCAGGATGGGCTCCCGAGCCTTGCCTCTGTGCTCTCTTACCAGGGAAAGTGAACATGAGTTCCGAGTTCCTGCGCTTCAAGTGGGGTAAGGGTGCTGGCCTTTGGCCACAGCCATCCTCTGGGCCCAGAGATGGTCCCGTGGGCCCTTGGCTCCTGTCTCCTCTGGCTGGGTTGTATGGGGGCAGATGAGCATGTTGTAGTGGCAGGAAGGGGATGGTGCTCAGAGCGGGGCTTGCCCAGGGGAGCTGAAGCAAACTGGAGGATGCCAGTGGGGGGCACTGGATAGAGGCTGACAGAAGCGTGGCCCAGGGCCCAGCTTGTGCTAATATTTCTGCCTCCCCCCTGGGCAGGAATCGGGCGCCTGATTGCTGAGTGCCATCTCAACCCCATCATCCTGCCCCTGTGGCATGTTGGTGAGCCTGGGATGGGGACAGAGATAGGGCATCTGGGGTGGGGAGCCTGGGACTCCCTTTGGTCCCAGGCTGCCCTGCTCCACCCCACGTCTGGTCTTTTGTCCACTGTGCTGCAGGAATGAATGACGTCCTTCCTAACAGTCCGCCCTACTTCCCCCGCTTTGGACAGGTGGGTGGGGACTGCTGACCTTTGGCTGGCTGACTTTCTGCCTGTCTGTCATCTACCCCATGTCTCCCACTCAGCACTACGGAGACCAGATGCAGGAGGAGCTGAGCATGAGGCTGCAGCAAGGGACAGAGTGGAACATAGGAACTTCCTGTCACCAAGGCATTAAAATGAGAGGAGAGGAAGCCAGGATGGGGCTGGGGTGGGCCATGGGGTCAGGACAGGACAGGTCATCTACAGCACAGGACCCAGGACCAGGACCTGCTTGTAGAGGGAGACTGGCCCCTGGGGAGCATAGCAGGGCCGGGCTTAGCTTCTGGCTCTGGTGTTGCTGGGGCTGGGGCTGGGGCTGTGGGCACTCCTCTTGCTCCTCCTCACTGTCGGCGGCGGCCACCCCACAGAAAATCACCGTGCTGATCGGGAAGCCCTTCAGTGCCCTGCCGGTACTTGAGCGGCTCCGGGCGGAGAACAAGTCGGCGGTGAGTTTCCCCCTGGGTCGTGCCAGCGGGGCGCTTCCACCGTCTCCATCCCCTCACCCTCTCAGGGTGCCTTGGCCAAGCTTCCTGAGGGGTGCAGGCCATTCCCTGTCCTTTCCCTCAGGTGGAGATGCGGAAAGCCCTGACGGACTTCATTCAAGAGGAATTCCAGCGTCTGAAGACTCAGGCAGAGCAGCTCCACAACCACCTCCAGCCTGTGAGATAGGCCCTGCCTGGCCAGCCCCTGACCATGCCTTCTCTGGGCCCCAGGGAGCAGCCAGGGCTGAGGCTGGGGGAAGATGCAGCGCCAGGGCTCAGGCCCAACTGGGCTGGCTGTCCTTGCTCGCTGCCTTCTGGATTCTTGGCCTGCACAGAGCTGGGTCTTTAGGAATGACTGATGCTCTTAGCTCAGATGTGGCTTTTAGACAGATTTGTTCATTGCCCATCTCAGGTGCCCTCCGAGCTGGAGGCCATTATTCCAGCTCCTCTGTGCTTCCTCAGTAAAACCAAGGACCTCAGCTGCTTCTCCCACTTGGCCAAGCAGGGAGGAAGAAGCTTAGGCAGGGCCCTCCTTCCTTCTTGCCTTCAGATGTTCTCTCTCAGGGGCCGGTGTCACGAGGGAGCATAGAAAGCAGGTGAGCAAGCAGTTGGCTAAGGGAGCGGGGGACCCACCAGAGCTGTGGAGAGGTCCCCCAAGACCCCTCAGCCTGGCTCCTACACACGCGCCCTTAGCAAACCAGGAGCTGCTCACTACCTCCTCAGGGATGGTCATTGGCCACGTCTTCCTTCTACTGGAGCTTCCCCCTGCCACAGGCCCTTTCCTTGGGCAAGGTCTGGCCTCAGGTGGGCCACAGGTGGAAGAGCAGCCCTTGGCCAGATGTCAAGCCCGCCACATGGAGCCTAGAGCTGGGGCCACCAACTTCTCCATCCTTTCTGCCTCCCAGCATCACTTGAGTCCCAGGGCCTTGGTTTTCATTTTTTTGAAACAACAATAAAGCATATGTGTTGGCTTGTTGTATAATACCTCTGGCCTCTGTAGGGGTGGAAATGGGAAGTGACTGCTGCACACGAAGGCTGGACCCTTAGTGCCCCATAACAATCTTGTACAAATAGAGATTAATCTCCTTATTTTGCCACGGAGGTAGAGTGACGCTAAGGAACTTGCTTCAAAACCCAAAGCTACCCAGGTAGACTGGGGCCACACTTCAGAGAACCCCGAGTATGGAGAACGATTGGATCCTACCTGGGCCTCATCATCGGTGGGAGAGGAGCTTTGATGGGCCCAATGAGTAGCCAGACATGAGTGGTGCATGCTGCGATCAGGAGGTAGGGGGGTGCCCAGATAAAGCTGGGGGTCCTGGGTGGGAGCAAAGGCAAATCCAGGATGGTGGTACACACACAGTATTAAAAATACTATAACAGAAATGTGGAAAGAAAGAAAAGATAGAGCCCACAACAAGAGAAGATTCAGAAAACCAGGTCTGTCTGCAGTGCTGCTGCCTCATTATTTAAAAATAAAAGGTTTTTTTTTTTTTTTAAGAAAAATGACCAAAAAGGGAAAAAATTACCTGGGAAAAAACAAAGACTTGTGATTAAACATGGATAAAAGCAGCTGGGCATCGTAGCTCACGCCTGTAATCCCAACACTTAAGGAAGGCAAGGTGGGCAGATCATTTGACGTCAGGAGTTCAAGACCAGCCTGGCCAACATGGTGAAACCCCTGTCTCTACTAAAATACAAAAATTAGGCCAGTTGCAGTGGCTCACACCTGTAATCCCAGCACTTTGGGAGGCCGAGGTGGATGGATCACCTGAGGCCAGGAGTTCCAGACCAGCCAGCCCAACATGGTGAAACCCTGTCTCTACCAAAAATACAAACATAAACCGTGCGTGGTGGCGGGTACCTATAATTCCACTTACTTGGGAGCCTGAGGCAGGAGAATCGCTTGAACCTGGGAGGCGGAGGTTGCATTGAGCCAAAATCATGCCATTGCACTCCAGCCTGGGCAATGGAGGGAGAGTCCATCTCAAAAAAAAAATTTTTTAATAAAAATGAAAATAAAAAGGAATGACATTTCAATACATGCCACCAAATGGATACTCTAAAGGATTTTTTTTTTCTTTTTTTGAGACAGAGTTTCGCTATTGTTACACAGGCTGGAGTGCAATGGCGCGATCTCGGCTCACCGCAACCTCCGGCTCCTGGGCTCAGGCGATTGTCCTGCTTCAGCCTCCTGAGGAGCTGGGATTACAGGCACACGCCACCACACCCAGCTAATTTTTTGTTATTTTAGTAGAAAGGGTTTCACCATGTTGACCTGGATGGTCTTGATCTCTTGACTTCTTCGTGATCCACCCGCCTCGGCCTCCCAAAGTGCTGGGATTACAGGCGTCAGCCACCGCACCCGGCCAACTCTAAAGGATTTTCAAGAAACATTATGCTAACTGCAATAATCCAAACACAAAAGGCTACATATTGTATGATTCTACTTATGTGATGTACTTAATGGCTTCAGATCAGAAACAAAAAGTAGAAGGGTGGTTGCTAGGGGCTAGAGTGGGAGATTGTATCATGGGGACACAGCTTGAGTTTGGGAAGACAGAAAGAGCTCAAGGTGGATATTGGTGATGGTTGCACAATGTGAACGTACTTCATGCCACTCAACTATACAATTAAAAGTGGTAAAGGGCCGGCCACAGTGGCTCACACCTGTAATCCCAGCACTTCGGGAGGCTGAGGTGGGTGGATCACTCGAGGTTAGGAGTTCGAGACCAGCCTGGCCAACATAGTAAAACCCCATGTCTACTAAAAATACAAAAAAATCAGCCAGGCGTGATGGTGGGTGCATGTAATTCCAGCAACTCAGGAGGCTGAGGCAGGAGAATTGCTTGAATTTGGGAGGCGGTTGCAGTGAGCCAAAATTGCACCATTGCACTCCAGCCTGGGCATCAAGAGTGACACTTTGTCTCAAAAAGAAAAAAAAAGAAAAGAAAAGGAAACACAAAAGGCAGAGTGTGAGTTTCCCATGGCTGCAGTAAGAAGTGCCAGAAACTGGGAAATTTAAAGCAACAGAAATGTATTATCTCCCAGTTCTGGAGGACAGAAGTCCGAGATCACAGTGTTGCCAGGGTGGGTCGTGGTGATTCCCAGCAATGCTCCGTGATTCTTGGCTTGCAGAGGTATCATTCCAATCTCTGCCTCCAGCTTCAGACTGCACTCTCCTTCCTGTGTCTGTGTTTCTTTTTCTTGTCTTTGAAAGACACCAAGCACTTTGGGAGGTCAAGGCAGGCAGATCACTTGAGGTCAGGAGTTTGAGACCACCCTGACCAACATGGAGAAACCCCGTCTCTACTAAAAATACAAAAATTAAATGGGCGAGGTGGCGGGTGCCTGTAATTCCAGCTACTTGGGAGGCTGAGGCAGGAGAATCGCTTGAACCTGGGCGGCAAAGGTTGCAGTGACCCGAGATTATGCCAGTGCACTGCAGCCTGGGCAACAGAGTGAGAATCCATCTCAAAAAAAAAAAAAAAAAGCCATGCCATCTGATACCAATGCAGGATAGCTATTGCTTTTCAGGGGATGCAGGAAAACGGAGTTTGGGGGACCCAGGGCTCTTCACTGACTGTAAGGTTCAGTGGGCTGGTCTGAGATTCCATTGATTGATTGATTGATTTAGAAGGAGTCTTGCTCTGTCACCCAGGCTGGAGTGCAGTGGTGCCATCTCAGCTCACTGCAACCTCCACATCCCGGGTTTAAGCTATGTTCCTGCCTCAGCCTCCTGAATAGTTGGAATTACAGGTGCCCACCACCACACCCGGCTATTTTTTTGTATTTTTAGTAGAGATGGATTTTCACCATGTTAGCCAGGCTGGTCTTGATCTCTGGACCTCGTGATCCGCCTGCCTCGGCCTCCCAAAGTTCTGGGATTACAGGCATGAGCCACCATGCCTGGCTGGGATTTCAATGAAGAAACACTTTTATCCTAAAGATGAAGTCCCTGGACAGAAGGCGCTCATTGGTGCGGTGAACCTTTGGTGGCTCAGTTTAGATGTCATGGGCGCCATACTCCGCACATCCCTCCTAGCCCAATGTCTCAACCTTTGGAACATTCTTGACCCTGTATCATCACCTGCTGTCCTGCATGTCCTCTAGGCTAGACTGTGAACTTCGAGGGCAGAATCTGGATGCCTGGCCCATAGCAGGTGCTTCAGGAAGCCTCAAGGGCCCCTGGCAACACAGGGAAGAGTAAAAGCAGCCTCAAGTAAGTTTTTTCCCTAAGGATGGGAACAGCTCAGCAACAGAGTGCTGGCCAAGGCAAGATTGCATTCCACATCCCACAGGAAGACTTTTGAAACTATGTAACAATGGTAACAGAAACATGATAGGCTTTCTTTCTTTTTCTTTCTTTCTTCTATTTGTTTCCTTCCTTCCTTCTTTCTCCTTCCTTCCTTCCTTCCTTTCCTTCCTTCTTTTTTTTTTTCTGCAGGCTGGAGTGCAATGGCCTGATCTAGGCTCACTGCAACCCTCCACCCCCTGCCCACCCCATTCAAGTGATTCTCCTGTGTTAGCCTCCCGAATACAGGCACCCACCACCATAATTGGCTAATTTTTGTATTTTTAGTAGAAATGGGGTTTTGCCATGTTGGGCAAGCTAGTCTTGAAGCCCTGACCTCAGGTGATCTACCCGCCTTGGCCTCCTAAAGTGCTAGGATTATGCACCCCACCCATGCTTTCCTGGGATACAGTGAAGCTCCAGTGAAAACCTCTCACCTTGGCTAGTTCAGGCCTGGAAATGGCCACTTGGGGGGGGTCCCCTAAATACCCTAAACTTAATGAGCCCCCAAGTGACCTCATCTCCTAGTCCCCAACTCAGCAGACCTAAGAGCTACAATGTTCTTCAACTGTATCACATCAGACCCACTTCCTCCCTCCCGCTCAACTGCCACCATCCTAGTCATAGTCTCATGTGACAATCATGACCACATGACCACAACCTTTTTTTTTTTTTAGGTGGAGTCTCGCAGTGTCACTCAGGCTGTACTGCAGTGGCGAGATCTCAGCTCACTGCAATCTCCGCCTCCTGGGTTCAAGCAATTCTCCTGCCTCAGCCTCCCGAGTAGCTGGGACTACAGGCGTGCACCACCACGCCCAGCTAATTTTTTTTGTATTTTTAATGGAGACAGGTTTTAACGATGTTGGCAAGGATGGTCTCCGTCTCCCGACCTCATGATCCACCCACCTCGGCCTCCCAAAGTGCTGGGATTACAGGCGAGAGCCACCGTGCCCCCCCCCCCTTTTTTTTTCTTTTTGAGACAGTCTCACTTTGTCACCCAGACTGGAGTGCAATGGTGCGATTGGCTCACTGCAACCTCCACTTCCCAGATTCAAGTGATTCCCCTGCCTCACCCTCCTAAGTAGCTGAGATTACAGCACATGCCACCACACCCAGATAATTTTTGTATTTTTATTAGAGATGGGGTTTCACTGTGTTGGTCAGGCTAGTCTTGAACTTTAGACCTCAGGTGATCCACCTGCCTCGGCCTCCCAAAGTGCTGCGATTACAGGCGTGAGCCACTGTACCCAGCCCATGAATACAATCTTTTTTAATTTTATTCATTTTTTAAAATATCGTTTAAAAAAAAACAAATTTTAAAAAACGCACAAACTGGCCGGGCACGGTGGCTCACGCCTATAATCCCAGCACTTTGGGAGGCTGAGGCAGGTGGATCACAAGGTCTAGAGATCGAGACCATCCTGGTGTTAGCTACATGGGGCTGTGTTCAGACAACAGGGCTGAGCTGGAGTCATGAAGTCAATGGTGTGCTGGTTCCAGCACTAGTTCTTGCCTCCTTCTGCTGTGCCTTCGTGCACTGCACTGGCTGGTCCAGGACAAGCACCTAGATCCTCCTGCTCCCTCATATCTAGGGCTTTGGATGCAGACCAAAGCCCTAGATATGCCAGTGAAATGCCACACCTTGGGGACGGTGGTTTTCTTCCGCAGCCTTCTGGTTCGAGTCACAA